AAAATCACTACTGCTTCCCTATGACAAAAATTTTAAACAAGAAAAGCCAAACATGATGAAAACACTAATGAAGTGGTTTCGCGTACTACTGGAAAATACCCTGATGATATGCGTGGTGTAAGAGCCTGTATTAACAAAAATATGTTCTTCATTACATAAACCTGTATAGTAGCTAATCCTAAGGAGGATTTGGTGTGAATGCCATGACTTTGCTCTTAGAGGGACCTCACCCTAATCTGGTAAACCTCACACCCTGAAGGTCCAGAGACAATTCAACCTGCAAACTGTTAAAACACGGGTCTTTCCCCAAGCAAGGATACTCATAGTATTAAACTGTGCTAAACCTTGTAGGTAGATTTGTGATAGAGGCTAGAAGTTGCTATGATCCCCATTCCTGAAGTGTCTGAACAAACATGAGGATATTTGCTGTTCATGTTTAAAAAAGGCAAGGCAAAACTTTACAGGACTGATCACTAATGCAGATTTTTTTCTCTAAGAACCACCCTCTGTTCTCTGTAGCTACACATACTGTTTTATAGTGCACATGAGACTTTGAAAGGAACAGGGCACTCTTCAGACTTATATCAAGTGTGCAATAAAGATTACGGGCATCTTCTGTGATGTCAGAAGAACTCACAAAAGACATTAGGTAGGCAGTACTTCCCAGTTTGTACGTAATTAATTTCCTGGGTTTGAGTGGTCCCACCACTTTTCTTTTTCGCCACAGATCAAGTTCATATCTCTGTGTGCAATAATAACATGGGGTTATGGATGTTGGTATCACAGGTAAGTATAAAAATAACCTCAGTTGATACAGTTTTTGAAATAAAGTATTTGAATTTTCTCTTAATTCACATTACTCACTTGTGGAAAAGCACAGAACAAGGACATATCCATATAAGATGCTAGTTTTTCCATCATTTTTTCCACTAGCTCCAGGCAAAAATAAAGATTGGGCCTATGTTGGCAAAAGGAATCAAATCTGGGTCCCTTTGTCATTCTGCATGGCCACAATGACACACCAGGGCAGAGGCTTCAGCCGGAACTGCAACTGGAAGAGTTCACAAACAGATAAAACCAGGTTGTGTGTCTTATGCCTCAAACAGCAAGGTGTTAGTGAGGATAAGGAGAGACTGCAAACATACATTGACACCTGCGAAAAACACTGATTTTCAGAAACTGGGGACTTTGTGCCCATTATAATACATGCTTCTTTATAGCATCAGCCTGAATACCTCAGAATCACTGGCCCCTGGGATAGATGCAGCTTGCTTACAAATTTCACGTATTTTTTAATATTTACATGGAATATCTGAACTGCATTACAGCTCAAAAAAAAAAAAAAAGGAAAAAGAAAAAACAAGGAAAATGTACCAAAAAAATTACATAAATAAATTCAGTAAATTCAGATAGAAACTGAGAAAAGGCAGTGCAAAAACTAAATTCTCCCTCATCTAATTAGCCTTGAGAGTACCGCAATCCTTGTCTGACAGACAGAAATAACGAAGCAATGATTTCTGAAGAGTTCAAGTTTCCTGATGAAATGTTGTCCTTTCTCATCACTGCACTTAAGAAAAGAGCTTCTAGGTTGAAAACATGCCGTACTTTTTACTGTTTCACCACTACTCCCAGTTCTCCCAAGCAGCAACAGTGGACATGTAGAAAGTTCCAAACTGGTTTCCATGGGGTTCTTGAAGCTTTCTACAAATCCCAATAAATCTTGTCAGTTTCACCTTTGCTGCTCTTGCTATTAAAAAGACTAAGCAACAAGATATTAGTGTAACTCATGCAAGCTATTAATAGAAAAGGTGACACTCAAAAATAAAAACGTTTGAAGGACAAAACGCAATAGCAGAGAATGCCTTCAGTGTGACCAGGATAGTTGACATACAAGAAGAAACACAGAATCCCTATGCCTGGGGTTCTCTCCAGGAGGACAAAGGACAACAGAGACCAAAATTAGTACCTTAAAAGATATTTTGAAATAATTAGCTGTGTACACAGAACACAATGCCTTGGTTGTAAAATCGGCAAAATTAGCTCTTACTTGCTGTTAATTCTTCTCATTGGCTATAAATGTGAAGGAAAATGAGCTGTCAGAGGTTGTTTTCCATAGTACAAATGAGAGCACAAACAGAAAGGTATATGTATGTTAATAAGCAGGGGAGTAATGATCAGTATTCCTTTGAGAACAGAAACATTCCTTGAGGTTTTTTATAATCTGATAGTACAGTATGCTGCCTTAGCTATAAACATTTAAAATGCATTTATGAAAATAATTCTGCTTGTGCAGGGGCTCTCAAGTCGATGTAGCCCTACTCCTGCACCAGTATTTGAAACAACCACTATTTTTTGGTCCATTCACAACATCTGCATCATTTATACATGTACACTATGCAATGGCTTCTCTAATGAACTGCAGTATTCCTCAATATTATTTATTGTACAGTGCCTACAAAGATAAATTAGATCACCACTTCCTAGCTCTGCAGAGATGGAAGAAAATATTTAAAAAAAATGGAAGAAACCTTTCTTTTTACAAACTTTTTCCCCTCAAACGGAAGTGTATTTTCTACTTCAAGTATGACCATTTTAAAACTAAAACTCAGGTATCAGTAAATAATCTTCACACTAGAAGTTTTGTGCATTTTTTTAAGTATGGTTATTGTTTTAGAAATGCCTCCTATGCCCATCTCCTCAGGCAAGAAAACTTCTTCCTCCTTTCTGACCTGCATCTGCATTAACGTGGCTGCTAATTCTAGGATGAATCTTGACAGCATTTGCTCCTTTAAGTAGCCTTTACCTAAGAAGCAGTGACAACTGATCAATCACCCACAGGCCTACTTAGAAGAATTAAGTCTCCCTGACTTAAAACTCATGACCTGTTCCCACCTGATGGCATATGGCACATGAAAGACTATGACATGATTTTAAGGAAGTGCATCATTTTTTTTCCATTCGTTAGCCTTTTTTCTCATGTAAAAGATTATTCCTGCTTTGGATCTAGCTAAATGTCATTATACAGGCTGAGTGTGATTCAGAGGTTTGTGTTGCTGCTACCACATATTTTCTTGTTCAGTAAAAAATTTCAAGTTTGCTTTCAGTTTATGAAACAATGCCAAAAGTTCAGCTACTCCAGAAAACAATATTTACTTTTTTAAAATAGGTCTATGGATCTGTATTTGACCCTGTAGTTTACAGCCACTTTTAGCTTACGGTAATGTTACAATTCTATATGAGCTTACCGGCTTATCCACCTGCTGATACACTGCTATGGGGCACTTCCGTTGATGTTTTTACCATGAGTTTTGCATGTATTTTTCTCACCATGAGTTTGCAAATACATTTTCCTTTACAGACTTTCAGAACAATAATAATTTAGCGTAATAGTACATTTCATAGTCATCATAACCCCCGGTTGCTGAATGCATTAAAGAAAAAAATAAATAATTAAAATCAACCTTTTATCTGTAAAAGGTACATTTTAAGCCATTTTTTGTTTCCTTTGCAAGGAAAAAAAAACAAAACAAAACAAAACAAACAAAAAAACAAACTGAGAGGTATTCCTCTGAAACTTACATGGATATGAAGAACTTCAGGGATTAATTTTATGTTTCCGAATTGCTGGAAAAGGTTACATTCCTACCATTCCACTCAAAATTCACTACTTCGATTCAAGATTCTTTTTTTTAGACAGTGTGCATGAATAAATCACATCTGATAAAACACATGCAGTTACAAAGAATCGGATAACTTAGGTGGGTATATACAGATAGCATGTTTCCCAGAACATGAAAGGATTAAAGGTTGATTACAACAGATAGAAAGACCACAGGCATTTTGAATTTCTGATCTGCTAACACATCTTTTCCCTATGTACTGCTTTTACTGATTTTGGTCCCTGAAACCTACTGGGTTTTGTCTTCTGTAATTCTCTTAGTACCTGTCTGCAAGAGAGGAATTGGCAACAATGCTGGTTGCTATTGATACCGACTAACAGTTTCTCAGCAAAACTATTCAGTACAAGGTAGAGGGACGGAGTAACATGAATTATTTCCTCCCTGCTATAAGGTTAACTGCTTGACAAAGGTGCTTCCAGCACATGAACACTTGGTCTAATGAAAATAATAAATGGGGCATATTCCATTCATAGGTCTTCAGCTGCATGTCCCTGCATCCAAATCACATGAATTCTATATATCATGTATCTGATGTCACAACAGTAAAATAACCCATGTATCTATTACAGGAAGAGATATTGCTATATTTTCTTTACTTAAAACCCAGTCTCTTATAAGGTGCTACAACACAATTGCATGGTCTCACTGTCTTGCTAAAAGGATCTATTTTTAGGCAGCTTCTTTGTTATCGTTCTCTCAGAGTCTACTTTTTAAACTCAGTCTAGTTTCACTGGTAGCTGAGCTTACAAGTGCTACCACATGTCTCTTCTAAAGGTAAGTATAAATATATAATTTGTTTAGTTCTGTAACAACATAATGACATAACGTTAAAACCCACTGGCCATTAAGTCTGACAAGGTTGGGGAAGGGTGGGTACAGGGGGGTGGATATAAGAGCTCGGGCAGAACAACTTCACACACACCTGTATGGCAAACTGTTTGCCGGCTGTGCATCACCCCTGACACGGCCGCGTCCCTGCTTTACACAAAGCCGGCCAAATACCAGCTTGTCAGAGAAAATCAGGTACCAAGTTGAGTCAACGCTTGGGAAAACCGCCCGAGTTTATTAACTCTGCCGTGCGCCCACCGCGCCCTCCCTAGCAGAGCTTCCGCGAAACTACCTGTAATGCAGCCGTGTGTCCCACCCTGCTGCCTCACCGGTCCCCCATCCCGGCCCCGCGCCCAGAGCTCGGGCGCTGGCCCCGTGGCTTCCCATCAGGACAACGCGGGAGCCGCCCCGCCGCCACCCTCCCCCCTCCCGGGGCTCCCTCTCCCCAACACCCCCCCCCCCCCTCCGCTGGCCGCCCCCGCCGCCACTCACCAGCTGCGCGCCACACACCGCCACCAGCGTGCACCGGCCGCTGCAATAGCCCATGGCTCCCGGCACCCCGCGCCGCCGTCCCGCGCCGTCCCGCGCCGCGCCCACTCAGGCGGCGGGAGAGCACCGCCCGGCCACCGCCCGGCTCCCGCCTGCCGCCACCGGCGCGCCCCAGCCCGGGACCCGCATGGGGGCGCGCCCGCCGCCCGCCCGCCCTAGCCGCGGCCGCAGCGCCCGCCGCCTCGGCGGCCGCCGACAGCGGGGCCGGCCACCTCCGCGGAGGGCGGCAGCGCCGGGGGAAGGGCGGCGGCAGGTGCTTGCAGGAGCAGCCGCGCTCTGCCGCGCAGCCCCAGAGGCATCTGGGCTTCAAAGTTTGCCCCCTTAACTCCGCTCGCAAACCATCAGGGCTCACAGCCGTCTGCGGCGGGAGGGAGGCGGGGGGGAAGGAGGAGAGGAGGGAGGGACGGGAAAGCGAGGCAAGGCAACGCAAAGCAACGCAAGGCAGGCGGCGGTGCTGAGCTCAGTTTGTGCTCGGAGAGCGGCTTTCCTCCTGGCCACAGCACAGGCGCTCCCCCACCTTATTCTCCTCTTCCTCCCGGTAGGGCTCATGCAGCCCCAGCAGTGAAAACCCCTCGCCTGGGTGCTCTCCCGCGGGGGGGCGCGGAGGGGCGGCGCAGCGCAGCAGCGAGAACGGGTGGCTGGCGCCACTTTGAGAGGGAGTGGCGAGGGCGGCTTCACCCTCCGGGACCCCTTTGTCTCGACGGGACACCTCTCCGCGTTCAGCCCTTCCGAGGCTCCCCCGCACGGCACCGCGCCCAGCCGGGGCCCGCCGTAACCCAGCCGCCTCTCAGGCACAGCCGCTCTGCCGGCGGCGCTCCGCAGGGGCGCGGAACATAACGCGGCCCGCGGTCACGGCAGCGCAGCGAAGCACACGGCGGCCCGCGGCTGCGGAGCGGAGCCGGCGAGACCCCAGCTTCGCTGTGGGTTGCGCTGCTGCCGCCTGCCGGGCCGTGGCCGGCGGTGCAGGGGAAGCCGCCCCAGCCGGCTCCTTCCTCGCCGGCTGCGAGGCCGCTGCTCCGGCCGGCACTGGGGAGAGCTCCTTGAGACCTCCAGAGACACGCCGGGCGCCCCTGTCCTCCCACCCCAAGGAGAGGACAGGCGAAGGCAGATCAGAGAAGGTAGACTTGAGCACTGGGAGGGGTCCGGAGCAGAGGCCGGGAGCTGCAGGGCAGGAAACGAAGGACAAAACCAGGCAGATTTAGGGGAAAAAAAAAAATAATTTTGCTTTCAAGGAAATGATTCTGCTCACCATCATGATGAGGAACGTTTGCACTTAGTGGCATGGCCCAGCCTTTCTCTGCTATCAAAAGCATCCAGGATACATAAAGTTGGTGGGAAATTGTATGTCAAGTTCTGGTGCATCAATCAGCCTCCAAAGGCTTTTACTTACTGCGTCAGCAGCAGCAGTCTTGACATTGCATTTGGACCAGGTGAGTTTTTTGCTGAACTGCCCATTAACAGAGGTAGTTTTAGCAGTGACATCAACAATTACTAACTGGAGGAACATTGCTAGGTTTTCTGAGCACATGTGGATGTTTATTTATTTACAGCACGAATAGTTTGTGAAACTGGAAGTTCTTCAGAAGCTTAGAACCCCATGTAGTTTGTCTGTCACTTTCCAGGTGGGTTTGTCAAAATAGATGGCAGGCTGTCAAATGCATAGGTATGATTCCTGAGATGCCTTATAACATGATGAGCACTCCACAGGGGAGCAAACCACATGAAGGTGATGCTGAATGTCCTCTGCTCCATAAGGACATCCTTTCTGGGCTATCTGAAACAGCACTGACCTCCCAAATCACTAGTCATGCAGACTACCAAACACACTGAGCACATTCACTTTAGGATCTGAGGAGGCAGTAACTAGGGAGAGCTGTATCTTGAAAACAAATGGAAGCTCTGGTTCAGAGAACAGAGATGCCCATCCAGTGCAGAGAACAACTCAGATACCTTTGGACTCAGCCTTTCTTGGATTCTTCAGCATGCCATTCGTGCATTTCACAGGAATGACATTGGTGTGCAGGTATTAGCTGGTATTATGATTGTTTGAACTTCAAATTTGAACTAGACAAGATGTAGCAGTGGACTCTGCATTTGCTGTATACTTACTTCTGTCTCATCCCAGGCATGTGCCTTTGTGTACTGATCTCTTCCAGGATAGTGAATCCTCCTCAACTGAAGACTTAGGGTGGTCAGGAAACAATGGAAAATGCTTAATATTTACCCACAGTGACTGTCTCCTGAAAAGGGGCAAGAACAGTGTATCTGATGATGTGAAACTGGAAGCTAGGAAGCTAACGAAAGAAGCACCATCTTGTACTCATTTAGACTCTTGAGGGGAAGCTAACACTAGTGTTCTCTGTGTGTCCATAACTGAGCTAGTTGTTTATTACAGCAGGAGGTTCCCTGGGGAAAATGAGGGCAGTAGTGACAGAGTCCAAAAGGGTGATCTTCATGGACTCCTATAGTTTCCCAAAGCTCCCTGATCATTTTTGCAACACCTTATATAGCTTTGCTTTATTGTAAGAATCTATTTCCTTGCCTTCTCCTGACCTTCCAATTAATTGTGCCTCTTTCTGCCACTGTTCTCCAGATCCTCTGCGTGGTCTGTGGCTTACTTTTCCACACAAGCTGCCTTTCTCCATGTCATTCTGTCTTTTTAGACTGTCCTTTATTTGGGCTTCACTGGGTTGTCTGTACCCTGGTTTTCAGCAGGAGTTAGTTAGCATTTTTCACTGTCCTACAACATCAGATACATGGACACGGATTCCATTTTGTCCTGTCTTTGGTTTTGGCCGGAGCTGCTTGGAAGGTTTCTTTTAGGAGGAGAGTAAGGCCTTAGCAGAGGTCGATGAAGTTAAAGAAGTCAGTTGTGAGAACGGCTCTGTTCCTTTGACCTTTGTCTGAGTTTTGGTGCTGCCTCTAGTCACTGTTTCCTTCTGCTGCTGTTCCAGACTTCCTACCTTTCCAAGTATGAACCTCCTCAAAAGCTGAGATGCAGAGAAGGGTATTCCTCCACCTCTGTTAAGCTTGTTGACAATAGTGGCATTTAGATTCACTGTGAGTCTCCATCCATAACCCACCATTGATGCGTCAAAGACAATTCCTCCTCCCTGTAGCTAGCAGACTCACCACAGTTCAGCTTGCCGTAGGCTTGCCTTTGCTTGCTCTGTGCAGTTAGTAAAGCTACAAATTATGTGTTGGGAGGGAAAAAGAGTTAGGGTATGACTGCGTAGAGCAGGAGGGGAAGGATGAGCAAAACACTACCCCTGCATCCTTATGACACTGCTCCCTGAGCAGTTGAGGTTAGCCACAGGATTCAGCTCTCCTTAGGTTGAATGCTCCTGGCCTTTTCCAGGCCAGTCTAAGCCTGTTCTTGGGATCGCACAGCTTTGGCGTGTAGTGAGATCAGCTGTGTGTGTACGGTAATACCAGTTTGTAGGTTTCCAGTTAGACTTAACAAAAGGGCTGTTGTGTGTGCTTAATATCCAAACTTTCATACCTTTGTCTAAACGAAGCCAATTTTCCACAAAGCAGGGCTGTACAGTGCTCTTCACTGAGGGTTATTCTATGCAAAACATTAACTTGCAGTTGTTCTGCCAGTTGTTGGTTTGTAACCATAAAGAGGCCATAAGGAAAAAAAGAAGACAAAAATGGGTTTCCCTGTTTCTCTTCAGTCTTCTTATACTCAAGTGTAATTTTATTTTTTCTGTAACTCATCTCTTGGAAGAGATTACAAAAATTGTGACTGTCAGTAATGACTGGAAATAAGAGGCCACAGAATCGTTTTACAGTCCCAGTTGTAAGACCTCATTACTAGTGCCTGCAGACCCATGGTGTCTGCTCTTTTAAGACGAAGAGGGAACATGCCTTTCAGGGGCATAATGGTGAAAGCCTGTGTCTCCCACAGTGCCTTCCCTGTGATTTGGCAGGACTTACTAATCGGCTGTAAGCCTGTCCCTTCCCTGAGCCTGGGGAGCACCTGAGGGAGTGGGGAGCCCAGGGAGGGTTTCAGCTGCCAGCTCTCTGCATCAAACTTGCAGCCACAGGGGAGAACAAGGACTTCTGAGAACAAGCTGCAGGCCAAAAGAACCAGCATGAAGGGCCACAAGCGGCTCATGAACCCGTAGTTTGTATATCCCTTTCCTTTAATAAATTTTTTATGTGAAATCCATTTAAACCAGCACAGCACGAGTTCAGCAGCGCATCATCCCAAGCATTCCAGCCATGTAGGAGCTTGTCCTTCGTTGCTGCCAGCATCCTGTCTACCCAGGCTGTCACAGGCACTTGTAAATCAGCGTGGGCTCCTACTTACTGTATCCATTCTCATATCAAATCAATCTGAGGGTGCTTGGTAATTGATAAAGTTGTCATCAATAGTAAAGGGAAAATGTTTCAATTTAACCAACACCTTGTTAACAAATCAGACCTTGCTGTGTGATGTGCATATACATTATCTGGAGAAAAAAATCAATTAAGGGGGAGAATATGTGATTAAAACATAATACAAAATTATTGAATGCTTAAGCACACTGTAGTGAGAATTCTATTCAAACCTGTAAGACTATAACAGTATTAAATAATTTTTTAAACCTCATCCCTACCATGAAGATTGAGTGTCAGGTACTTTTTTTTCCCTCCTGCAGGATTTCAAGACTTGATTGCCCAAATGACAGTTTACTTATTTTACTGTCACATACTTTTGTGAAATGCCATAACAAGTTGATTACAGGTTTCACATTTTGCATAGTGACAAAATCATCTGTCATATAATAGTCTGATGGCTGCCTGAAAGCCATTTAACTAAGAAACAGTTTCTACTGACAATAATGATATTTGAAACATTAAGGTGGATTTAAATGTGTACATTTTCTAAGCAAGTCTTTGTTTTAACTGAATGAGGAGACAAGTATTATCCCTTTCAGGCATGAATTTAAGACTTGTAAGTCAGTAGAAAACAAGTAGCCAGAGGGTGAGGCAAATTAGGAGTGGCATCATTACATGAGTGAAATACAGGACAGAAATGTGAAGCCTTGTGATACCTCCCTACTGCTGCAGAGAAAAAAAGGGCTTGGCTCATATTTGGGAAACCCGTTCTTCCTAACAGCCTGTTCTGGAGATTCGAGGCCATGCCATG